TCTCTGTCACTCCCTTTCTATATAATGCGCGCTAAATACATACATAGTTTGAAAATAGTTTTGAACCCTTTCATCAGGCAACCCCACCAGTCCCAGACCACCAACCCACACCAACACCCACACCCACAGCAACGCCAACTGAGCTCTGGCTTGGCCGCAAACAAACAAAAAACCCATGGGAACTCCACTCGTGGTTCGGCGGGCCGGCACACAGCACAGGCGGGGGCAAAGGGTGAATGGAAGGCACTGTGCAAAAGTGGAAAAGCAGAAGTGACACTGGCCTGCCAGAGAGCATTGGCGGCTGTCATTTTCCATTCTTTTTTGTATTTTTTGGCAGCCTTCCCCATAGTTTTGTTTGGTTTTGACTGTCATACGATCTTTTTTGTCACATTTTCGGCGAGTTACATTTTGTCACTCTCCTTAGCATCATTTCATCAGCATTTGAGTGGGACAGGAGCGGGACTGCACTGCTCTCTGCTGATAAATGAAAGACGAAGTCGAACAGTTCCGTTCCTGCTCTGCCCTGTCCCCTCACACCCACACCCACACCCACACCCACAGACCCAATCCCAGACCCAATCCCAGTCCCAGCCTGTCTGAGTCTGTCGGAATGAATGTTGCAACTAAATGAATAAATGGAAATTAGTGCCAAAAAGGCAACGATGCGCATACAATGAACCTCAGGACACAGGAAGGTTCCTGTCCTGTGTCCCTCATCCGAACGGAATACAGAAACTGCATTTTTCATAGATGTGTTCCCTCTTGTATTAAGTATACGCCACGCTAACTTCAAGCCGCTTAACGCCCTTCTTCCTTCGGTTTGAGTAACTTTAAGAACATTTAAATTTGAAATTTACACGGAAATAATTTAGAAATATTGCATATTAAGTTTTACAAATATATTCAAAATAAAAGAAGATGAAAATATTAATGTCCAATAATTAAATTCAATAATTAATGCGCAGATCTTTGGGATCAAAGACCAAGAAGAAGCTTATTATTATCATCTTATCTGCGAGGTTTTTCTGTGGATTCTATGTGGAACTTAACAAGGCATTCCTTTGAAGGGCCTGACTGAGTTGGATGTGGTTTCCCATATGTATTTAGCCTGTACCCTCCACACGAATGAATCGCTTCCGTCGTGTCCAGATAAAATGTCTTTCTTCATGATCCCGTTCCGTAACACAATTTTGGGCAAGAACTAATTAAATGAAACAATTTAAAAATTGTATATGCCACAGGACTAGAAGACCTTGATTGATGGCTAGCAAAATTCTATAGAATACTCAATAAAGAATTTTAAAAAGCATTTAAGTTCATCCTAATACTGTCTCCTTGAATCCAATCCTATCGCATTCTTGACCTCAGAGAACTCATGGATCTTGTGCGCAGAGTGGTCCTGCTGCCATCCTGCCGAAGGACTTTAGGCAGTTGTTCGGAGTGTCTATTCTGTCCTGCTGTAGGCCTTGGTGGTTACTTTTATTCCTTGGTCCTTCTTGATGATCCGAGCCCCCTGTGACCCCTGCCTTGAATACTATTTAAAAATAAACGTTAACGGAGCTCGGGGATTCCTTTGGAGTGAAGGGCTTTAATGCACGTCCATAATCGATAAGTTTCACTTCTTGCCATTGATTTGTCGCTGCAACATGCAAAACCGGTTGTAATTTCTGTTTAAATGTCAGCGATTTATGTATGTACATTTTTGCCGACTTTTCCTACTCTCATTTAAAGCCACCGTCTGCTCAAATCCCCACCAAACCCCGACTGGGGCAGAAGCAGGGGCAGGAGCAGGAATATTATCGTATAATTCAGGACATACTGTGAGAAAGGGGAGCAGCGCATTGAAGCGAACGCATATCTATCATTAATATCGCTGCAGTCAGCTGCTGTTGTGCTCAAAAAAAAAAAAAGCCAGCAGCAAAAAAAGAATGAGGAATACGGTCCGATTTGCAGCCGAAGCTGGGACTACTCTTGCCGGCAGGCCGTTGGTGGGATACCGTATACTACAGTGTATTTCCTTGATGCTAGTGGAATGGACTCCCATATCCGCTTATACTTTGTTCAAACTTAAATACTGAATAAAGCAAAAAGACTTACTCAGACCTCATATTCCTTACGTCCGAGTCTTCGCGAATATGCCGAACAGTCTCAAGGAATGTAATTAATATGCATTATTGCTTAGCGCTCTAGTGGCTGGATCTTCGATACATATAGTGGATATGACTTCTTTGCATGCAAAGGGTATACAAAGTGGCACACACACACACACACACATCCATTCGTACCCATGAATGCTAACACACATACACACACACACACGCGAACATCCAGCCAGGGATCGCTGGCATTGTGTGGCCCTGAGGTTTGCTGTGGCAGCACTGGCTGGAGCAGGAGCAGAGCAGGAGCAGTTGCAGTAGCAGTAACTGACTGCTGAACTACTGCCAACTGCAATTAATCATTTTTCTATCATTTTCAGATTTTTTACACACACTCACACTCACATATGCACACCCAAACACCCACACATGCGGTGCATGGTGCATATGCATGAGCCTGGGGTAAGTTATGATTTTTCACGATGCTGTTCTCCGATTTCTTCTTCTCGTTTTTCCTTTTTCCTGGCGTCTTTTTTCTTTCGCTTACCCTCCCCGCACCGCCAGTGCACATATTTGGGAGGGAAAGTTCGGTGTGCTTGCGGCAAGCTAAAGAGCTTCAATAGCCACATACAACATGGAGCAGGCCACGGGCAAAAATCACATGATAATTGAGGTGCCTAACGCGTATGTGGTGCGAGCCGTCAGACTCCAGGCGCTCCACAGGCAGGAGAGTGTGTTAACTACAGTGGTAACGCTCTTGATGATCCAGCATTGGCCATCCCAAGAAGAAGTAATTATATTAATAGCAGATCAATTATTTTTTGGATTTTTTACCGTTTGGATGTGAATATTCTTCTTCCGAAAGGACATCACATCTGATAAGAGTGAAACTTGGAACCCCTTTTGCTCGGACAGCCTTTTAGAGACATCTCGCTAAGAAAAAATAATAGTATTATTTAAAGCCATGTCTATGCTTCAGCATTTTCGAGAGCACTTTTATAAGATTGTTGCATAATTTTGCTAATTTCTTCATATGAAACGCACTGTACGGCATATAGCTGATGTAGATAGATATGCACATAGCCCCACACATATCTATTTAGAGGCACATGTCTGCTTTTAGCCGCCGTAAATTGCAGCGTCGTCGCCGGCCTAAACGATTTCTAATGGCGAGGCACAGCGGGCGCCAACGAGCAGCGGGCGCCTCCGTTCTCCATCCATATCCACATCCCACGTTCATCCATCTCCAAAAGTGTATGTATGTATGTGCACACAACACATCTTTGCAGGCATACATCTCCATGGACATATGTATGTACATAGATTAGGTCAATTTGCTGGTAACTTTTGATGATGCCCCAGCACATTTACATCCTTTGGCCAAGGAGAGAGCCAAAGGCAAAAACTTTCCGTTGATGGTCGGCCAGCCTGGTCACTCATTGATGCGGATACATCCGGTATGGGTGCCCCACAGTGTCTGTGTGCTTATGTGTGTGTGGATCCAGACGGGCATATTGCATCATCAAGTATAAACTGCTAACAAGTCAACAAGACCAACAACCAGAAGCAGCAGCAGCAGCAGCAGCAGCAGCGGCAGCAGCAGCAGAACACTGTCAGTCCAGTCCAATCCAATCCAGTAGTGGCTCAGTCAGGCATTCCCATGGGACATTTGGTCAGCTTGGTCAGGTTAAGTGTTTTATGAACTTGTTTCAATGAAGTCATACAATGTGCGTGTGCGTGTGCGTATGCGTATGCAGGTGCCATGTGCCATGTGCCATGTGCCATGTGGCATGTGGTGACTGGCAAGGTGGCAACCAAGTCCTGCTGCTCCTCCGCCTGACCAGGGTCTGGCCATCGTCATCGCCATCGCTAGCGCCAGCGCCAGCGCCACTGTCGTCTCTTGCCATTGAAGCTTTTAATTTGATTTTCGTTCAAGTGTCGTTTTCTGTGGTTCTCCAGTGTCTGTCTCCCTCTGGACCCTCCAGCACTTCCTCCCAGTGTGTGCACGTTTATGTGCATGGGTATGCGTATGCTTATGTGTATGTGTTTCCGTACTAACTTGAGCCCAATTGCTGCCTCTTCTACTTCTCCTTTGGCTTTTGTTACGGTTTCCTACTTTTGCTGGCGATTTTGGTTCCGTTTCTGTTCTGTTTGTCCTAATGAGGCAGCATTCGTTTGACTCCCAGAATTCTCCAATTAATGCCAGTTCGGGACAAAAGTAAAACGAAAACCTTGTCTTTAGCTCATTCACATGCAAATGCAACTTTTGATATATGATAGCCAGATTTCGGCATTAAATTATTCTACTCTTTGATAGACTGCACTCCCTAAGGACTGATTGTAATTGAATTTCTTGATTTCAATTCACCTATTACAAATAAACACCACCACCAGCAAAATCTCAGAGACTGACATAATTAGGAATCAAACAAGCAAGGATGGCTAGCAGAACAACTGAATGCCCCTTAAACAATTCCAATAAGTCGTTTAATTTCAAAGACTAAGGGCATACGACACAGTTCAGCAATTGTTAGACTTCGGGCTCCGAATCCCATCTATAACCAACCAAGGGCTATGTACATGGCATACCCATGATAATTTCTACAAAATACTCGTCGTAAATCCTGACATAATTCGAATAAAACCACCTTACTGCCAACTTCAGTGCCTCACCAGACTGTACGTTGAACAATTCCCAAGCTTTAGAGTGTGTCTGAAGACAGAAACATCCAGCCAGAGAATAAGAAACCACAGAAGCAAGCACAGTACAAGCGAAGAGGCACCCAAGCGGACGGGATAGAACAAATAAACAAATTGGGTAATTTGCAAATTGAAAATTGATGTAAAAATATGTACACTTACCCCAGGGCCAGTTCCATGTGTTCATTCAGAGAGTGGCTGAAGATGCGGCAGCACCGAAGTCGCCGGCAATTGGGTCACTTCTGGAGCCGCCAGCCATACCCAAAGTTATGCGGCAAGCCGCAGGCGAGGACCCACATATCGATGGCCACGTGGCGGCGCATACTAGCCAGGAACACAGATGAGTTCTGTCGCAATACGACCATACATGGCCTGAAGTACATCAATAATAGGAAATTGCGCAGCAGCGACAGGTAATAGCCACATAACATACACATTTGCACATAGCTACAGAGGATTAAGCTTACTCCTGTGCTGGCAGAGTGTTTTTTGGAGTCGCAATGCTGGCGGTTGTCTCAATGGCCGCCTACCTCATACATGACGCCTTCGACAAGTGGAACACCACCCCGGTGATAGTGGGTATTGATCCGGAGCTCACGTACATAACAAATGAGCCATTTCCCGCCGTCACCATTTGCAATCTAAACCAGGCCTTGTCCAGCAGAGTCGCGATCCTAGCCAATGACACGGCCGCTTATGCGATGCTGCAGGTGTTGTGCCGGCGCAAGGTGGATTTTCAGCGGGTCAGCGAGGATCGGACCAACTGGGAGGAGTTCATAACTAATGTATGTAATCAGCTGTGCTTTAAAGTGTATTCCAAATTTCAACGGCCCTGTCTTTACCACAGATATCGCAGCCATGCCAGTCGATGGTCATCGATTGTCGCTTCGGCGCCGACGACTATGAATGCGCGAGGATGTTCTATCCAATTGTCACCGATGAGGGCCTGTGCTGTGTATTTAACATGCTGCATCCACGTTACATGTACAAACGCAGGTATTTTTTCATATTTTCCACCCAGTTCACTCGCTTTTGGCCAGAAACACTCGAAATTAACACGCACTTTACTCGCCAGCATGTTGTTCAATTTTTGTGCACCCATCTTTACGGTCATCGATGGTCCGTTTTGTTGTTCTTAGCGATAGCTGCTTATCGATGAGGCGCGTGTTTATTGTATGTCAATATTATTCAATACATTGCATAGATCGCACCTATATATTGCTAATATTTACAGTAAACAATGAATACAAGTTGAATTGGCAGAAGAACGCTTATACTACGCGACTAATTTGTTTTTAATTCCAGTGCGACCCTGTTAGGTAAAAACCTATCGATGAGGCGCGTTAATTTGTATCTGAGTGTAATTGAATAAAAACCAACTGTATTGCACACCAAAGTCAATTAGAAATACATAAATTGGTAAATTTGAATTACCTTTACAATAAGCTCAGGCATACATACATATATTTCACTTTTCATTTGGCTCGATAGACGCCATATGCCAGGTTCGATAATGACCTAGCGCGTTTTGAAGAGGCGCGGACATTTGAAAATGTGGTATTTTTAATTTAAAGTTCTAGCGCATTATCTACACATGCTCTTATCATCTTATTTTTTGTTGTTGTTTCTCTTGCAGTGCTTCGTTCTCCCAACGAAATATGCCCTTACCCAAAGGCTACCAGGCTGTCAACTGGCATGCGGAGCTAGGATACAGACGCGGCGCCAAGTATCCGGACAGTGTGCTGTATCCGCGCCCGGCCCAGGGAACAGGCGAATCGCTGGGCCTGTCTCTGACGCTGGACGTGCAGGCCGATGCCTACTACTGTTCCTCATCGAGCAGCATTGGCTTCAAGATCGCTCTGCACAGTCCCAACGAGTCGCCCAATGTACGCGAGACGGGCGTCCTGCTGGCCCCCGGCATGGAGACCAAGCTCCGCATTGATCCAGCGAAAATCCGGACGGAAAATCATCTGCGCCGCGTCCACCGCAAATACAGGCGTTGTCTGTTCCGCAATGAGCTGAAGCTGCGATGGTTTGCTCATTACACGCAGCGCAACTGCGCCGCCGAACGCTTGTCGGGGCTGCTGCTCCGCCACTGCGGCTGTGTCTCATTCTACATGCCGCGCCTACACCGCAACGACACTATCTGCTCGGTGGGGAAGAGGGAGTGCGTGCAGCGTATTCGTTTCCGCACGAGCGAGGCGATGGAGGAATGCCTGGATGACTGCTTGCCCAGCTGCTTCGATCTGACCTTCAATACGATCGCCTACTCGACGAAGCTCTCGCACGACGGCCTCGCGGTGACCAATCCGAATCTCAGAGTCAACTTCAGCGACGCGTATGTGGAGCGCAATGTGGCGGTGGTGAATATGTACTTCAAGGACCAGTCATTTCGGGCCAGCAAGCAGACAGAGTTTATTGGCTTCTCCGACTTTCTCTGTGCGTAGATTCCAGGAGTCGCCTTGGAGTAATTAAAGTAATTTGTATCTCTTTCAGCCAATGTTGGTGGCCTGATGGGGCTGTTCCTGGGCTTCAGTTTCCTCTCCATAGCCGAGTGTCTGTACTTTGCCTTGATCCGACCCTGCCGCACCTGCTCCGAACTGAGGCAGCTTCAACAGCAGCCGCAACAGCGGCCGCCAGTAGCTGGCCATGCGACGAACAGGGCTTTTGTTCCAGGGAGCATAAATTATATTTCACCATCCAAATGGTTTCAAACCGAGTTGGCTCGTCCGAGGGGGCTCAACTACAACTACAATCATCCGGCTTAAATATTTAGAGTAAATTCTAGACTAGATCAAAGTGCTTGGTGACAGTGTCATGCTTGGCCAGCGCTAAAGTCTTGGTGTTCTCGTAACTCAGCATATACTGCTTGGCCTTGCTCTTCAATAGGTCATCGAATATCTGCGAGAGAAACGCAAAGAAATTAATGAATCAATCAACCAAATCAATTGCAGATTAGCAATAGAAACCATCAATAAACAATGTTAAATAATCAAACTTAAATATTTGTTTGGGTGTGTCTCTAAGAAAAACCATGACATCCCCTCGTCCCCACTAATGATGGTTGTTCACTCACTTAATGTTGCTTTTACTCACCCGACTATCCTCAACGTCGAGCAGGGGCCCCAGATCGAACTCCATGATGGGCAGGGGATTGTTGATAAACGTGGCCGCATTGGCGACCTCGGGTATGGCGTTCTTTTGAAGGAAATGCAACTCCCAGAGCGAGCTATTGAGGGCCTCCGTTTTGACCGGATCCTTTTCCTTTTCATTATATGGGTCGCTGATCTGTTCGGCCAGCGGATCGCCGCGAATGAGCTTCTGTAGGCCAGTGTGGCGCAGCAAAAGGTTGCAGATGAAGCGTATCATGATCACGGCATCCTTCGGTGGACTTTTCAGGGCAAGACGTGCAAAGCGTTTGACAAAGGCCGCCACCAGATTTTCCGGCAAATGTGTCGAGGTGAGGAAAATGTCGGCCAAGTAAAACAGGCGGGACTTGTATTTGTTGCTGAAAACGCGAGCATGGAACATTTGGTACAGCTTCTCGTACACATCGGGATAGGTGATGTTCTGCTTCTGCATCAGGACGAAGATGCCCTGTAGCGCCAGCAGGGCGATGGGTCCATCTGCAAAGAGCATTGGAATCGATGAGAAACGTAAGCGAAGTATTCGTTGGCATTTTGCGTCGACAAACCATATTCATGCAGCGAGTTCATCAGGAAGTCAGTGACTCCGATGGGGTCCTCCATGTGGGGCAAAATGCGCTCCAGCAACACCACCAGCACCATGCGATGTAGATCTTCATCTATGCCGTTGCTTGAGGCGATTATGCCGCGCCAGATTTTGTTCAGTTTCTTGCGGGCCTTCTCGTAGGTGAAGCTCCGGTGCGACTTGTTCGTGTCCACATGGTACTTTTGCGCAGAGAGCACCGCCTTGCCCAGATCCAATTGGTTGACCAGCGAAAGATAGTTCAGCGCCTTGATGGTGTCATGCTGGTAGTCTCCGGTGGGTGCCAGTTCGAGGGCGAACTTGATTGACAAATTGAGTACGTCCAGGTATTTGGTGTACTTGCCGAACTCCTTCAGCACAATGGTTCTCTCCGGGCCATTGATTAGAATTTCGAGAATACTCTTCAGCTTGCCGATGGGCCAGTCTCCCTCCACTAAGGGGCTTTCGGCCTCACCCTTAATCAGGGACATGCACACCTTGAGGGCCATCAGGGTCTCCACTTGAGACGTCGAGCCAATGCGGTCGAGCAGCAAAACCCACGTCTCTGTGTACAGGGAGTCCCATTGTAACGCCTGCGTATCCAGTGACTCGCGCTTGAGCAAATTGGTGAAGATCACTTCCAGGACGGCCATTAGATCGTTCTGATCGATATTGGCGGGTTTCTGCCTCTGCAATGACATGGGATTAGCTTAATCAGTATCCGGCGTTGAGGAAATCTAAGCAAGACTTACCAAATTCAGGATGAATTTAGCGAGAGGCGTCGGATCGAAAGTGCTGGCGTTCAGCATGGCATTGGCCTGAAGGCGCATCCTACGCGTGTTCTGCTCTGTTAAGCTGGAGCCTTCAAATGAGGCGCGGCGTTTCATCTTTATTGTTTTTTCAATCAATTCTTAGTTTGAATTAATATTTAAAGTTTTAAAGTCACGTCGAGCAACCACATGAGGCCGTGGGTGGGATTTATCGATAAGAAATATGCGCTCGGAAGTTTATCGTCTCATTTGAAAAATATACCGTAAATATACTGACGATTTCAAGTTATACCTTACAAATTCCTCGTTTTTGATCTTCTGTGGAATATTACTAGCTATATGGACCATTTAGCATGGTCTCATAGTTTTATACGATGGATGAATCAATTTTCTACTTGACTGGCCTATTCTAAATACTTGCTTTTATTGGATTTCTATATAACGTTGAAAATGATATTTAATAGATTGATGAAATTGACAAAGTATACCATTATATGCCGATATACCGTAGATATACCGATAAGCAAACAAACTTAACCCATTTAAGACCCCTCTATTTAAGCAGTTCAACGACTTGAGGTAAATAACGGAAAATTTTACTGATTCTAAACTATTCTTGTAGATCCATGCCAAAAACCATGATATGTTTCACCTAAACTGCGCCAAAATATTCAATTTGCAGTGTTTTGGATGGATTTTTGAATCCTTGATTTTGATATTCAATTTAATATTACCACGTGAGGCCGTAGATAGGTATATATTGATACATCAATCTATCGATATATATCTTTTGGTGATAAAATATTTGTGGACGATAAGTTTTTGAACTTTTTGGATAATAATGAAAATACTTTTCTGAGTGCACGGCAAATCGACAATATTCTTCAGTTGTTTCATTGTGGCTTTGATTAAAGTCTCTGGTCTTAATCTGTTATACCTATACAAGCCACTGTTGATTGTACTGGCACAAAATATCGACTATTGTGTGCGATGTACGAAATTCGGCGTGGGGGTCTGCCACCTTGTTAGAAAAAATGCTGTATTTTCTGGTATTATTTCCAGTTAATTAGCAAAATGATTGTCCGTAGTGCAGTCACTAATTAGAGAAATGTATGCTACTCCAAAAATCTTGACATTTTTAAAGATACTAAAACAATATATCGATACGTTTGACTATTTGTGGCGCTTATACTGTCTTAATAAAGTACATTTATTTCCATTCATATTACCAATATCATATTTGTTTTAAAAATAATATATTGGAGCGGCTAAGAGTGCAGTTTTCGGTTGGGGTTTTTTTTTTGTACACTTGCTTGATTTTAAATTGAGCAGACACTTGATTTATCTGGTATATTCTCCTATCGATTGCGCTACGTCTTATCGTCTCATCGATATTTCGCCTTGGCCTACCCGCTAAATTTAAGCGGTGAGTTCTTTTGAGCATATCATTTAGTATTTGTTGTAAAACTTTACATATTTTGTTTTATTGTTCGTCGAGTAAATTATTAAATAACAATTAAATTATAACAATTAATTGGAAATCGTTACATTTCAATCACTTTTATGCCGGTTAAAACAGATACAATTGGACATAGTAACACCGACTTGCATATTCATTCATAAGGAAAATCTACTCAAGCCGGTTTTGCACTCAATTGAGTGAGTGCTCAACGTGTTTTCAACTCGTCTTTGACTTCGTTGTCGGTTTTCGGATCGGATTCGGTTCTTGGCTTTGTTTACAAATATTTGGGTCCCTGTGAGAATTCGCGCGCCTGTTGCGTGCCCCGCTGTGTGCCGCGTTTCCTCTGCGTTGTTGCTTTGACGAAAATGTTTGCTATTTTGTATAACCTTTTCAGAGGGTATTCACAATTATAGTAGATGTTTTGATACGTTACATATATATGTGAATATATGTATATATTCTTGATCAGAATGAGTACTCATGTTTTTATAAAAAAATATGTCTTGGTCCTATAATATTGGAACAGCCAGGATCGTATGAACATTCTGTCATTAAACCGATTGGGAGAACAACTTGTTGTAAAAACTCAACATGATGTCGAAGCTAATCGAAGTATATTTGATCACTATGGATCTATGGATTTTTAAAGGGTATTTTTTTCGCCCAGGAAACTTTACTTTTTGTTTGGCATTTAATTTGATGCTAATCGCATCGGACAGCCGAATAATAAAACGAAGATTTATTATCGCAGAAAGGCAGAACAGATTGGACAGAATTGGCGCCGCAGCAACAATTTGCCCGGCAATTTCTCTGTTGACAAATCGCATTCATTAAGAGTAATGGAGAAATCAAATGACTGACTGACTGGATGCCTTCTGCCATCTGGTGTGGCGTAAATTGGTTAAAATTCAAATTCAAATTTAGTTTACTTCCACAAAATAAAAGTTGATCCTACAAAATGAAAGCATATAGAATGTGGTTTCGTTTTTTTTTATTTTGGAGTCTGTGGCGAATTGAGTGGCTTTTTGAGTCACTCCCACGCGGCGCCTCAAGCGCCATCAGCCATCGGCGCGTCGCCCGAGCTTCGGTTCGGCCTCCGGTGGCCTGCTGCTCGGCTTTTGTTTTGGTTTTCCACTTGGCGACGATTTGGACACGGAAGGCGCGCAGTTCGCTTGCGAATGTCCTACGCGACAGTTGTGCGGCGGACGAGAAACCGATTCCGGAGCCGAAACCGAAACCGAAACCGAACCCGAGAGCGGGAACCACAGACCTGTTTGAGTGCCACCTAAATCCAAATTAAAAAATAAACGCACACTTTTTTCAAAAAATAACGTGTTTTTCCATATTTTTTTTACTGTGCTGAGAGCTTATCATAAACCCAAAAACGCAACAAAAAAAAATATACTGAAAAACATCATCCAATAATAATTGAAATCGAAACCGCTTGAAATATAATATTGTTTGTGCCCGAATTCATTGTATTCTCCTTAAAAAACAAATTCCTTGCGCTTTGCTTCTTAATATTCCGCACTGTCCGGCGTCTTGGAGAAGGACCCGGACCAGGACCCACAATCGGATCAGGTGAGTGCAAGATGCTCCCAGCCGGAAATTAAATAATGAGATGCCGCCGAAATACCGAAAAGAATTTTAGCCGGCAATTGAATTAAAACACGACTTGAATATATATTGTAGGACTCATACTTCAATTGTTCCGCCCACGGTGTGGCCTTGATGCCTTTTGGTCCTTCCTTTCCGCAAAAGAGTCATTTAATTAGGGTCGCCTCCTCGCCCCCTCGCCCCCTCGCCACCTCGCTCCCTCGCCCCCACGCCCC